AGAGAGAGAGAGAGAGAGAGAGAGAGAGAGAGAGAGAGAGAGAGAGAGAGAGAGATTAGTGTTGAAGATAGAACGGAGCATGGAAGATCAAGAGAAACAGAGAGAGAAAAACAAAAGAGAGAGCGAGCGAGAGAGAGAAGAGTATATATTCGATAAGATTGAAGAGAGAAGGTATATTACAGACGATTCGCATAGAGGTACTCCTTCCTGAGGGAGGATAATGGATCGTGCGTTAATAAACTGCCAACCAGAACCTGAGCAGTACCGACATCAGTATATCCTCCTCTACTGCACTCAAAGAATTTCGTATATAAATCTCACAAATTTTGAAAACAAGAATACTAAATACGACGGTAGTACGACTATAGGGTAATAATTACAATGTCATGGTTCTTCAGATTCTTCCGTTCGCCTCGGGTTTCGCTCCCGCCCGCCCGTCATTCCATCTCCACGGTGTGCACCAGGGTGTGCTCAGCAAAGATTGTCGTGACCGATCCTCGACGTGAATGGTCAGTCCCTACAGCGTCGAAAAAAGTCCCTAGAGCACCCGAACACCCAACGATGGCTGCTTATATGGCTCCTATGGAGAACTCAACCTCGTTTAATACGTGTAAATCCTCACTTTTGCAGACAAATTTGCAGTCTCAGACCGTTCGCCCACCACAGGGCACCTCCGCCGGTCCCTTCCGCCGTGAAGATAGTTCAGTCGGCTCGTTTCGCCGCGTCCGTCAGCCCATTCCCCCTCAGAACCATCTCATCCGCCCGCCAGCAAGAGGCGAAATCCAAGCACCCGCGCTCCCTGAAGCGCACGGGCGTTAAGTCCCCTTCGTCCGCTTCCTCGTAAGCTTAAGCTGCACTCTTCTCGGTTAGGACCGGAGGAGAGGCGACAAGGCACGCACGGAGAGAGGCACCGAAGCGGCGATTTGGTTGACGGGAGGATGTCAGAGCCCCACGGAGTATGAGCAGCTGAGCTGCTGTCCGTTCCAGAATTGCCCCTTGATACAGTCCTTGGCAACCAGCTTGCAAAACTTTCCAAACACTGCAATACGAATAGAGATAGGAAAACGCAGAAACTTGCCTTTGGTGGCCCAGGCTGCGCCGAATGCGCGGGACATTCCCGTCCAGGCACCGCCTTTCATGGCATACTCTAACCTCAACACCCTTCCACTCCCCGGAATGGTAAGCGTCGTCACCTCCAGCCAACCCCACCTGTTGCCCCTCAGAGTGAATTTGAGAAGCCTGAAGGGGGCACAAGGCACGCTGCGGAATTGGATCGGCACGTGACCTGCCCCCGGATTGGCAATCACGGGGAAAGCACCTCTGGCCATGTCCAAGTGAATCTGCAAGGAGCCGGGTAAACAGAACAGAGGACACACACAGAATCACCAGGTTCAAAAACACTGCGTCGCCTTCCTTCGCTTCTTTTCTTCAAAAACACGCACGTACATTATACATCCTGTTACGATCATTATCCTCTTTCTTTGTTTTGTTTTTTAACGATCACCTCAATGCCATGTCAATGAGAGAAGTCCAGGTACTTCTTGAAATGAAAATCCAGGAACGATTGATGTCGATAAGGTTAGAGAACAAAAAATTCCAAAATGAAAATCCATAAACAATTGATTGCCGTGCAGGCAGAACCAACCAAATTACTGTATTTACGTGACAAGCCGCAGTAAACGAAACTCCACGAGTCAGACTTACTGTATTTTTAGCTTTAAATTGAAGGTAACCGTCTTATGGATCTCGTTTGGCGAAGCGAAGCAAAGCAAAAAAATCACAAGGATGATTCGGAAAGCGAAGCTTTTTATGACAAACAGTTGCTGGAAAGGAAAACCACTCAAACGATTGACTTCTACTACCGTAGTCGACGGTATTGCAACACCCCGAAACTGCCCATTCGCGCCTGTAAACAGAAACAATCCATCCGATTCCACCTGATTCCATTCGATTTGTTTCCCACAAGACTTAGTTAGGCATCAGTCGACCGGTCGCAGAATGCTTTCCTGCGTAAGAGAGCATCAACAATGGCAGAACGCTGTTCTTACTACTACGAAAGAAGACATCACCGAAGCAGACAAGAACGTAAGAGCAAGCATACGGGAGGCCAGGCGGGTCTTACATCTCAGGGTCAAGGAAACTAATGAAAACCCACACCACGCTGCTGAATTTCGGGGGGGAAACGGGGGTGAGACGATACTTGATGCTTAGCTTCGATTCTATCATTACACAGTAATGCGCACATTAGCTCGGCATTCTATCACCACCGTAACGCGCACATTAGCGAATACCGTTTGCGACAAGATCGGGCAGCTCTGACTGCAATGGTTTTTGCAATATAGAGGGGCAGAGAAAAATCCATCATGTGATTATTGATGCTAAGCTTCGATTCTATCATTACACAGGTAAGGGTCTCGCCACACGGCACATGAAACGAACAAAAAATAGATTGCATCAGCCCACAGAAGGTGGCAAGATCCAGTCGCTACTATTAATAGTAAAAACAGATAACTGTTTTCCAGTTGCTAAGGGAAGATGCATGCACTCGTATTCTTTTTTTCTTTCCGCGCGCCGTGTGGCGACTCCCTAAATGAAGAGCAGAGGATTCGGAAGAGAGAAAGAGAGAGAAAGAGAGAGAAAGAGAGAGAAAGAGAGAGAAAAAGAGAGAAAGAGAGAGCTCCTCACCTTCCCTCCGGTGCACCATCGAAGGTTGGGATACTTGGGCGGGCACAAGTCGGTGATTGTGACACGAACGCTACCGGGTCTGCAGGCAGGGCTGTTCACGCACTTGACCTCCATGCACATCCCGCACGCCAATCCTCCCAAATAGACCCTTGGTGAGCCCGCAGCAAATCGGTTTCTATACAGCTGACTTCCGATTCTCCCATAACCACAAGCACCACCGCGTCCAAAATCATCATAAAAAGTAGAGTGACCATTGATCCAGGGGCCGCGCGCGGACAAGAGAGGATTACAAATATTGCCAATCTTGAAACCGCTCGCTCCACCTACATGGAAGCACACCAAGGCTAAGACAGCAATAGCCGCTCCTAGGAAGAGCCCGCCTGGCCGCCCCATTTGCCACATCGCGTTCTTAGCTGCTGCAATGTTTCTTCGACTGAGCACCGTCCCAACGATCCCCCTCAACGTTGTACAAAACAGCGGCCGACGGCTGCTTCAGATAAAATGTCGCGCGGCCTGCAAATCGGAAAGACAAACGTTCATTTGAAACGACAGCCAACAATCCCCATCCTTTCAATAAATTGCCGTAAATAATCCACATCCTTTCTTTTTTTTTCTTTTTTTTTCTTTTTTTTTAATGTGGTCCGATGGACCACGGATCAGATATTAAACTGATCAGAACAGATACTACACTTGATCTTAGCCAAAAGGCCGAGAAAGGTATATCCCCACCAAATTGCCGCTAAATCCTATTACAAGTCCCATACCTACCTTCCGTTTCCGATTTGTATCTTTTGTTTCTCTTAAGTTCTCCCCTCCACACGAGAGAGTAGAGCGTAGACACAAAAACGCCATACGAGTCCTTTAAAAGGACAAAAAAAAAAACGCCATAAGAGTCCTAACTGCCTTTTCGTTAAAATTGTTTGTTTTTTTTTCATTTCACAATTTGTACTTCAGTGACCTGAAGAAATCGTTTGGTCTGTCCAATAACGGGGCATTTTTTGGGATGAGCGATCATTAATGAGACTATCACTCATCCCAAAAACTGTGTTCTCCCCTCCGTACGAGAGAGCAGAGCGTAGACACAAGAACGGCATAAGAGTCCTTCAACTGCCTTTTCGTTAAAATTGAGCTTTTTTTTTTCCCATTTCGCAATTTGTAGCACTTCGGTGACCTGAAGAAATCATTTGGTCTGTCCAAGAAAGGCCATTTTTGGGGATCAGCGATGATTAATGAGACTATCACTCGTCCCAAAAAAAAGGTCCTTGCCGGACAGATCAAATGACCTCTTCAACTCACTGAAATGGAAATTGCAAAACGGAAAAAAAAAACTCAATATTAACAAAACGCAGTTCCTTCAGAGGGACATCCGTTAAAATTGGAAGGATGTGGAGAAAGAAGATTAGAAGCATGGCATGGCATAAATCGAGAAATGGTCCCAAAAAAAGAAGCAAAAGAAGAAAAACAAAACAAAAAAAAACGTCATGAAACGCCATAAGAACAGGCTAAACGGATCTCCTACTCGACCTCCTTTTTCCTCGCCACTCCTCCAAGGTCTCCTCTGTGTGTGTGTGTGTTTGTGTGCGTGTGAGAGAGAGCGACCTCCTTTTTCCTCGCCACTCCTCCAAGGTCTCCTCTGTGTGTGTGTGTGTTTGTGTGTGCGTGTGTGCGAGAGAGAGAGAGAGAGCGACCTCCTTTTTCCTGGCCACTCCTCCAAGGTCTCCTCTGTGTGTGTGTGTGTGTGCGTCTGCGTGTGTGCGTGTGCGTGTGTGCGTGTGTGCGTGTGTGCGAGAGAGAGAGAGAGAGAGAGAGAGAGAGAGACAGCGAGCGGTGGACACCAAAAGAGTCGTACCTCCTCCAAGGTCTCCTCTGTGTGTGTGTGTTTGTGTGTGCGTGTGTGCGAGAGAGAGAGAGAGAGAGCGGTGGACACCAAAAGAGTCGTACCTCGCAATGGATACGGGAGACGGCATTATGTGCAATATCGGCTGCGTAGCGAATACCACGTACTACGTAGTGCGAGAAATTCTAATCGACACTAACTTATACAACCTTCGGCTGTCAATCCATCAGTCAAATCAAACTGGATCGTCGAGTCATTGACGACCCCTTCGGACAAGAGACCGGACCAGTCTATCACAAGCGGATAAGGAGAAAGTGAAACAGTGGCCATAGACTGCTTCTCGTACAAGCATCGCTAGATATGCATTACTTCTCCGCATGTACAGTTCCCAGTACGCAACGCGCAATTTCCCCGACGCGTTTCGGCCAGGCTGCGCTCCTGGCACTCATCAGGGGGCTTCTCCCCAGACTACGCCTCGCGGCACCACCAACTTTCCGACCAACTAATGAGTTAGTTTACCTGGCCCTGTCAAATCGAAGAAAAAACGCCGGGCGTTTTTCCGGCAATTCGGTTCAACATTCATCCGGCCTGTTGTGTGTGTCATGCAGATCAAGCAAGAATCGTGCACCATGTTCTAATCTGCATCGTTCAGAAAGCCAGATGTAATATCAGCCTTGGGCATTGGGACCGTTTTCAAAAAAAAAAAAAAAAAAAAGCCAGATGCAGAAGAATCAGAATCGTACGGCCAATCTGTTCCTACGCTTATGTTCCACCTGATCCCACTCAGCTACCGAAATATCCCAGAAACAACTGGGATGCTACCTCAATCAGGTCACACGCCGACCTGAATTTGACTACCTAGACCAAAGTTTCGCAGATCCCTTCAGCAGACCAGTGTGCTGAACACTGTTCAGTGTTCAGAGACCTTGTCGCGTCTCCGACAATCGCGTCAGGAGTGAGGAGATACATATAAGCGACGAAATAAATGCCATCAGCACAGGAGTAACCCGCTCCGATCGAAAGTCTTTAGTTCAACCACGATCTCGGAGAATCATGACCTTCTCTGTTTGGCAAGTTGAATCAGAAGCAAGAACATCATCGCAAGAGAAGATGGATGACATGTCTCTTGAATTGCTCCTTCCTGATCGCAGAAGGGCGCGGTGACGGACAAGTGAGGACAGAGCGCCAGAAAAAAAAAAAAACCATTCGAGATACGAGGGGTATGAAATGCGTGCAGCCCTGCTTCGCTTCGACGCGCTGGTCTCCACTCTGTCGATTGGCGCGGATCTTCTCCAGCCCCTCGTCACAATGCAATCGAAGACACAATCACCAAGTCTCGTCCACCAGAAAACCGACCACATTTACATGACGATCATGCGCAACATCTTTGGTGGACTCTCTCTCTCTCTCTCTCTCTCTCTCTCTCTCTCTCTCTCTCTCTCTCTCTCTCTCTCTCTCTCTCTCTCTCTATCTATCTATCTATCTATCTATCTATCTATCTATCTNCTCTCTCTCTCTCTCTCTCTCTCTCTCTCTCTCTCTCTCTCTCTCTGTGTATATACCTATATATCACTCACACACACACACACACACACACACACACACACGAACTAGCTTTCTCCCTGGCGCACACACGTGTTTGGAAAGGAGAACGGATCCGCCTACCTTTAGACGAGTACACCGCTTGGTCCGTAATTTTCGCTTGGAGAGGTCTGATCTCCCTCGCTGATCTCGGCCCAGCGGGGTCGGTTTCCGTTAGTAATGAGACGGCCCGGCAAAGCAAGCCTAGGTACAAACGGTGGGAGATGGAACTGATTCAATACACTCCATGAGAAAGTTCTCTGAGTAGCTCAGCTATGGACGCCGGCTACGAAACGAGATCTGTCGCGCATTCATGCGCTAACCATCAACCATGAGAAACTGAATACCCCACTCGCCTTGGCCCAATATATGTCTGATCAGACCTCAACCATGGATTTCCCGAAGCGCCATATGGCAATGGGTGCAATGCACTTGACAACCAAAGGTCTGTCTCCGCATGGGGACAAAAGAGAGGAGCGAGGCATTCCACTGGTCGCCATGTGTGAGAAGTCGATAGGCTCGCCAGTGCTCATACTTGGCGGGTAGTGGAGCGAGGCCCGTGCAGACCAGTGAAAGACGGGCACACCCCGAGGCCAGCAGGACGGCGGGAGTCTCGGCATCTCCGTCGTTTGCCGTCTCAGCGCGGGGAACCCTGCAAGCTGAGAACTAGAGGAACAAGAGCTCGTGCACTCTGGTGCACATAGCGACGAATGTGGAAAAGCGCACCATACAATACGTGACGTGTGGCAGTACTGTTTTGGTTTTGTTTTCCAAAGAACAAACAATTACCCGCCATTTTTTTCTACTTTCTTTATTTGTCTCAATTTCACCTACCCGCCATTTTTTGCTCGCAGTCATTGGCGGTGGAGAATGCGTTTGTTTTTATTCCAGTTCAGCTCCCCGAAAAAGTAATACTGCCAAAGGCCCTTCCGCGTTCATGTGGCAGGGAGCCCTTCCGTATTTCCGACCCTTCCCGCCTCACTGCCAAACGGTAGGCTTGCCTTTCGCCCGCCCTTCTTTGCGGCATTGGCATTGGCATCGAGAGGAACTCCGAGAAAAGGCGCCAACCCAGCTCTGGCCAATTATCCAGCCCCTCAGATTCGACAGGTGAGGTGAACCCCAAAGCTTCGCGTCTGGAAAGCCCTCGGAAACGTTTCTACAGGGCCTGTAGAAAAAGTGGGCCGTTTCTACAAAGCCCGCGGCCCATGGTCCCGTTGGAAAACCCTTGCAGCCCCGTAGCGGCCAAACTGGAAGGGTAGGGTAGGTGGCGCCCTTCCATAGCAAACGGAGGGAAGGGCAAGCGGATGTCAACTGGTGCAAACCTGCGATGGTGTGGACATGGGCCAATTTCGAAATTGTCACAACGGGACGAAGGCGTGGGACACCTTGGTCACCCAGACGTTGGGGAGCAGTCAGCGGAACGGGGAAGGGGCCAACGCGGGGAAGCACGTTCGTTTTCGAGAAACGTCGACGGCTGTTCTGTCCATTTTGGGAATGGACAAAGGCCAATCCATTGCCTGCATTCCGTGGTGGACACATGGAGTGCGACGGTGTCGAGCGCATCGGCTCCCACCTTTTTCGCAAAAGGCAAGAGTCAACCCGCCATGTCACGCAAGACCTAAACGAAGCAAAACAAGAGACAACTTGGATACAACGGGTAAGTACCGCATAGCCGCGTCGTCCCTTCACCGCTCTATTCGGGTGCGTCAGCGGTACTTTCCTCGACCCCCTACGACAAGATAGGTTCTCGCGGGGCACAACTTATCTTTCATAAGGGTTTGTCACCACCCTTAATGGTGTATCCCTACCGAACTATTGACCCACGTACGCAAGTTTTTATATGCAATCGCAGAGGCAGTCGAGGGCGTTTGCTCGATTCGGTGCACTATAGGAGACACTTGGTTATAACGTCGGATGAACCCGGACGTCACTCGCTTCCTCATGGCGTTGATCTCCTACGTACGAAGCGAACGTCGGTCGACTAGAACGGTATCAAGCAAGTGTGAAACCCACAACTCAATCCTAGTCCCTTAGACACATAACTTAAAAGAAAGGATTACCATAATAAAATATAGTTGTGTCGAAATAAATCGACCTTTAATCGATAGGAAAGCACATCCGAATTCAACATGAGTTGAATCAATAACTGGAAAAAAAAATGAACACCGCATGATAGAACCAATAACAAAAAAATGAAATACAAATCTGATAATCTTCGGTTAAACTCGATATTTAAAAAAAAAAAATCATAGTACTGAGCTACCAACGAGGAGTTGGTTTTCGATAATAACCCCATTGCACTCGACAAGGTGGTTGGACCACATCAGTTTTGATGTGATGAGACACACTGCCAAAGTCATTCATTTCATCCTACCACCGATCTAAGATTAGGTATGCAAACCTTGTATTGATACGTTATTAATCTTATTGGATAACAGACTGTTTTGTGCACGATTCTTTATTTGGTGCATTACTTGAAGTGTTGCATATCTGTCAAGAATTTTCTCTTCAGATAATTCTCATATGTTTCCATGATGCATTACCACAAACGTGATAATTACTTTTTGTCATGTTGACCAACTTTTGTGCATGATTTCTCTTTCGCACGCTCGATTACCCCTCAATGTCTAAGCATGATAGTGCTATCATCGGGGCAACCCGGATACTATCCATCCGGTTGTCGGTGATCCTATCTAATTATTTATTTATTTATTTATTTTTAGATTATTTTTTCAAGTCGAATAACAATAGCTCGGACATATGAACAATCTGACCTGGCCCCTTAGGCATCCTCGCTAGGAAACAAAGTTCATAAGAACATATTTAGTAGTGGTACAGTTGTCGGTCCTCTCGAGCCTCAGTCTCGATCTGATCGAGTCGGACAAGTTTTTTCGTCATTAAAAATCAAAGAAGTAACTCGAGTCCCTGACACAACTCGAACCGTTTGCGAGCCACAGAGGGACTCCGAGGTCATCCGCGAGACCAGCCTCCACACTATGGCACAAAAAGGTTGACGCATCTAAAAAAGGTGTCCCGTCGTGGTGTCCATAATCTGGATGACGTCGTAGCGATCACCAGATAGGGTAATCTTAATGCTCACAATGAGTTGAGAACTAGGCTACCAGAGTGGTCCGAGTCCACTTGCCCGGCCGAGCCAAAAAGATATAAAAAATAAATAAATAAAAGTTACTTTTCATTTTAAAATTTTATTTTAAATTTGGTAACGAATTTCAATGTGACCCTAGACAAAATTTATTTAGTTTATTTTTCTGCATAACATAGTTTGTTTTCGGATTTTTTTAATTTTTTAATTTATTTTCAGTTTTTTTTGGATTTTTTTTTTTTGGCTGGGACCTTCTCTGGTCCTTGTACAGTCGGGCCGCCAAAGAACATAGGGTGACCCGGACGGCCTGGCTGGTAGCCTAGGTTAAGAGAGTTATTTGAGGTTACTTGCGCGATAAAAAAAACAAAGTATATCCATGAAATTCGTTCGGAAGTCAAGCCACATTGACACTAATATCTGCACGCGAGTTAGGAAAAATTCTTGCCCATTTTTTAGCAAGCCAATAAATTGAATCCATAGGGGCGGCGTGACATCCTGAACCAATAGAAGTTGTTCCTCTCGCTGGATTAACTCCTCATCCATAGGATAAGCCAGCAACAAGTATTTTGCTTAGGTAAGATCATGTTGATTGTCGGTCATCTGTCAATAAAAAACGGGTCACATTAAGTATCAATGAGTCGTCGAAGGTTCTGAACTTTATCCTAATATATTGCACTCTTGCACACCCGACTATCCACCTATTTAAAGCGATTAGAGCAGATCCGTTCGAAGAACCCAATGCGTTCAAACGGTTTTACGCCAGCGTCAGAGTGTAAGACGAACCCAAGGTAAATCAATTGAATTTCAAAAGCAAAGCGCAACCTTAGCTCGTCATCCTCGAACCTCTGCACGGCATGAAGATCATACCGCCCGAGTTGTCGGGCTTGATTAAAACTAACCTCAAAGACATGTGTCAATGTCGAGGTTAGTAAGAGGTAGGTCCGTGGCGGATTTATTGTCGAGTTGCGGTCTGCTCGCTCTTTCCCTTGCGGAAATACTTGACTCGGTCCATCCGTATTTCGCACATCTCGGCTTGCGCTACGTGAATTGTTACAGCGTCCTTACTTGAAAAAAACAACAACAATTGTGAGTATTGCAGACATATGGAAAACAATCCAAGTCCCGAATGATCCTATGATAAGTCATAGACCTAATATACTTTCGATCGTATGGGTCAACGATCATCCTAGCTAATTGGGGTTGACCTTTAATCAGGTTAGCATTTTTTAGTGCTATCAAGTCCCACAAATTTTTCCTTTTCCCTGGGCTCATGCTTCTTATAGCATGACCCTCTACGAACATAGTGCCTACTTGCACTCCATCTAAAACTAGTAAGTACACGAATTGGGTTTCTTTTGACACCCATTGCCCATACGTTGGTGGCTCCTAAGGCGGCCATCTAAAAAAACGTTACTAGGTCAGTCTCTTTTCTACTTGTGAATAGGAGAGGACAATATCCACCCTTAGTCGTGAAAACATCCTACCCTCTAAGAAGTGGTCTGGGGTATTCCTCCTCCTTGTACGAGCACACCACTCATATCTCAGAAGTCGGACTGGTTTCATCCTGAATTAAGCAAGATACCCTTTGTAATACGGTGCACTCTGGCTCAATGATAGGGCAGACTCCTAAAGCAACAAATCCCTGTACTAGATGCCTCTTAGAAAAAAAAATTCCTCAAAGCCCTGAGTGGGATTATCCGCTACTTACTTGCCGCTCAAAAAGTTGACTTAGATGAAAGCTGAAGATAGAGAAAAGTGGAGGTTAAGACTTTTATGGACTGGCGATAGGTAAGCGGGTCTTTCGGGGTTAAACGAGGAATCCTTTGAGAAAATGTTAAATTCAATTAGTTTTTCTTCTTCTTTATTTCATGGTTTCTTTTCTCGAGACCCGTTGAATTTCCCCATAACAAAATATAATATCTTTTGAACGGGGAAACGGGAGGAGGAGTTAGAGGAATCAACCATTTTCATCACTTATACTAACTACACACAATCAGAATCCTTTTTTTGAATGCATCCCTTCACCTACTTGCGCAGCAAACAAAACAAA